TAACTCCAGCAATACACTGCTCGGCTGCAGGAAGCTGGAAAGTGTGTGGAAGAGAAGATGTGGATCCAATGAAGCAGCACAGCTCCTGTGCACACAGGGGACTCAGCCAAGGGCTGTAACAGATGTGTTTTAACCCATGCCACTGAGCTATTTGGGATCTGCCTCTCATTGCTTCAATGCTCATTCATGTGTCTTCCTGACGGAAGACCAACAATAACAATTAGTATCATATAAGGAGCAGTGGCTTGTTGCCAGCGTTAGCAGACTCTTGAGCACCAAGGGTTTCCAATCCACTTTTTCATCCCAGTCATGCATAAGGCAGAGGTCAATCAACATTAATCAGCCTTGTTCTGGGCCAGTTCCTTCAGCACATTCAGCATGCTGAATTGCAATCGCTGTTTCTCAGCGCTAAGAGGAGTCCCCTCTGGTCAACTTCTTTGCCTCTTTCTTTAAGCTGGCCAAGACAAGTATGTCTGTCCGATGACAGAAGTTAGACCTGCCCGTGCTGGAGTTGGCCTCCAAGGCTGCTGGGGATGAGACTGGCTAGGCAGATTTACTGGGTCTAGGCCTTGCCTTGCCATTCTGAGGTCTGAATAAATCCTCTTCCATCCAGTGGAGGTGCCCAATCTGTCCTCCCATCTTTCCAATGATCTTCAGAAACTCACTCTCCCAGTGGCTCCAGACTGGTTCAGTATCACTCTAGGGTAACCCTATCTGGTCCAGCAAAGGGAATGCAAATTTGAGGCTTCTTCTCAGCAAATGAACACGTTCCAAGGAAAGGCTCTGGAAGAGATCCTGATGACTTCCATATTATTTCCAGTAAATTTTGTGCTGATTCTTGGCACAAACACCGGAAATGAATAGGCTAGGTCAGGAATGTAAATAAAGTGAAACATTGGGATTTAATCTAATCTATAATTATAGTATCTGCGGTGTAGAGAAGAGAAGCTGGTATGTTTGCGCTGCAGCTTCATAGAAGAGCTGGGGGGAAGTTCATCTCCTGTTCCAAATTTTCCCTTTTTGGCTCTTGGTGTCGCAAACAAGCACGCTGTGCTGGCAGCCTGCTCTCCAGCAGACGTTCAGGTGTAGCTCAGGAAAGAGGTGTCTTGAGGTGCTCAGGGAATGGCTGGGTAAAAAGTTGCAATGATGAGTTGGGCTGAGTGCTTAGAGAGGTTGCAGGATGCTGAGAGCTCATCACAACAGCAGAGACAGGTTGGGTTTGCTGGGGGTGGAGGGTGCTTGGGCCATGAGCCAGGTAAGCTCAGTGCTCCAGCCAGAGTTTGGCTTCTGAAACACCACGAGCCCTTTCTCTTGACTGGTATTTGGTGTGGAGTGCACTAGGAATTGCCTGTCTCAGCACAGCCCTAGCTCCCAAAGCATCAATGTGATCGGCATTAACTGCTCTCCTGGCCAGCTGGGACTGGGCAGGGACCAGCAACCCCACAACACACAGACAAGGGGAAAAACGGGGCCGGCAGGCACCGTATTTTCATCAGACTGAAACTGCAAAGGACAAAGAAATTAGTTCTCCTTGTGTTAGTTTTTGTTTTGAAATTACAGAAGTCTCAAGAGCAGAAAAATCAATCAGGCTTTGTTTGTTTGTTTGTTTGAAGAGCATTTTCTGGTTTCCTTTTCAGTGCTCAAGCCCAGCTTTGATCTCCAGCTGGTAACACGCCAAACAATTGGCCAACCCAACCTAATTGCTGTAGGTACTGCGGAAGCAAAGGGACAGGATGTCAGGCACATGCACAGAGCAGGGGACCTCCACCATCTCCCAAGTCCCCTCTTTGGGCTTACAGGATATGCCCTGGCTACTGAATGAGCAAAAGCATTTGCTTTTGAAGAGCTCTGATGCCGCCCAGGATCTGTGTGTTCACCTAAGAGACCAGACAAAAATGCAGAGCCCTGCTGCGTTGCTATAATCAAGATTATACCCAGGTCAGAGCTTTCCAAGATAGCTATTTTTCCTGCAGAAACAAATGAAACAACCAGAAGAAATTCAATTTAAAAAATGACCCTGTGCCCATGTTTCTGTTGTTGTTATGTCCGCACGGGTTCAGAACAGAGCGTTAGCCTCACATTTCACTGTTCTGGCTTCCTTCATGCTGTGTCGCAACTGTATGGACATTTGAACACAGGAATATTTAATATGTGTGTTTATGTATCTGGGAACACACAGATGCTAAGCAAACACGTGCTGGCTAGGTCCAAGGTTGGAGCAAATGTGTGCATGCTGCATATATATGCATGCAGAGCAGTGTAAGAAAACATGCCTAGCAGGAGGCGTATGGCTCCGTGTACACGTGCTTGGGAAAGCAAGCACTGATGAGCATCCTGCAGTGTGCACAAATTTCTGCATCTCCCGGAGAGGTGGCCCAGGACCCCAGATGCCAGATGAACCTGTCCCCGCACACACGCACACGAGCGTGCACACCTGGGAAGTGCATACCCAGCCCTGCGAGAACATGCTGAGGGCTCCTTGCTGTCCTGCATGAGGGTCCACAGCTCCCTGACACCAGTGAGCTGATGCTTGCTGGTTCCTCTAAAACCTTCTGCACCTCTCCTTGAAGGCACTTGCAGAAAGTGTAAGGTGCCCAAGCCGCTCGAAGGCATGAGGCTCATGCCTGACCCAAAGCTGAGGCTGACTTTGGCCCCAGGGATGACACAGCGTTGGCCAAAGCGCACTGCCTTCCACCCAAGGCTCTCCAAGCCCCTTACAAACATCAGGAAACAGATCACAGAGCCCCTAAAAAGATGCGTGGGCGCAATTATCCCTGCCCAGCAGATGGGGAGGATGGTTTGGCAGCCTGGCTCCGCAGGCCCTGCGTCCACCTCGGCTTGGGCCTCCCTTGCCCAGCGCCCTGGCAGCCCATAGCTCCCGACCGGCCGGTTTTGTGGGATGCGGATTACCAGCGAGCTCTGTGATTGTTTCAGACTCTCCCTGGCACCTTTACAGAGCAGCCGAGTTCCCAACGATGTTAGCAATTATATTTATGCATTATATATATTTAACAAGAAAACATTTAAAATGATTAAATGGCAAGAGGTATCACTTGGAGCCTGCTCCTGGATGCAGCTCTGCTCCAGAGATGTGCAATAAAGGCTTCTCCCTCTTTGGAGGCTGTCAACATACTTAACTGGGGGGTGGTGGAGGGGGAGGCAAAGGGAAAGTATTAATCAAGATCTTAAAAAGTTCTCGCTGACAGACCATTTGCCCGCTCTTGCTTTAACTGCTTTTGTGGTCCCATAAAAAGTTTCATTACTCACTACAAAATGTGTTTTAATTATTACAGTCACTCTGACATTAAGCCCTGAGTTTCTCTCTTGCTCATTTTGTCTCTCTTTCTCCTTCCTGCCTTTTTTTCCCTCTCATTTTTTCCCTCCTTTTATTCTCCTGACTCTTGTCATCCCCCCACAAGACACAGTGGACACCGGGCCTAAATGTGGGAGGAAGAGGATACCCGTGGGAGGAAGAAGGGTCTGAGGAGGGAGGCAGGGACCCAGGCAAGCTGAGTTTCCCAGATAATAAGGACCTGTAGGATTTCTGATCCATCATTTAGGGGAGGAGGTTGAAGAGCCCTGATCCCTCCCAACTATACTGTTGCAGAAGTTAATGTTTGGATGCTGAAATAGTCCCACTACCTACGGCACAAATTAGTCTGCAGAAAATCTAATCCCTGGTTCTCAAAAGAGTTATCAGGGTGGTTTCAGGAGGGCCGAGTGAACCAGACCGTCCATGCCCATGGGACTAAGCATCGTGACAGAAGTGGCAGGAGGACAGGCAGGTGCATTTGCTATCCCTCTCAGCTGGCATGTGACCGACTAATGCACACGGGGGCTTTGCAACCAGCACCTAGTGCAGAGGGCTCAAGCCACCCTTCACCTCTGGTTGCTTTGGTCCTCCAATTCCTCCATGCACGGACCACCATAGTGAGGATGTGGGTTATTCCAGTGGGGTATCCCACACACTCCCAGTGCCTCTCCTGCTGTACTGGCCAGCACAGCTTTGCCATTTGCCATTGGATGAGCCTAGCATCCAAAACAACAAAAGAATCTCATAATTTGTGCAGTGTCTGGTGTAACACAGCGTGGGCCAAACCAAGCCCCTTAGGCTCCATTGTAAGAGAAAAGCTAATAACAATTAATTAATAGCACTGGAGATTCCCACTTGCCCCCCAGCACCTTCCCATATGCCTCTCCTTACTTGTACAGACCATCTGGTTCCAGGCACTTGAAAATGACTGAATAGAGGCTGGTTTCAGGGACGTCTCCATGGCTCCTTCCTGCTGCCACACAGGAGGTTGCAAGGCCAGAAAGCAAATCATCTGCAAAGCTCAAGGATTCTCCTGGAGAGCAGACGGAAGAGCAAGACCACAACATTAATATAGATCAAACTCTTGCTGACCATTTAAAGAATAATGCAGAAACACTTACGCAGCACAGGCCTAAGGGCAATCAATTAAATCCATTTGGCTGTGACTGGTAGAAATAACCCCAAGTCTATATGGAGAACATTGCCTATGGACAATATACAAAGCAATATACAAATATACAAAGTAGAAAACACGCTTGGGCCATCAGTTGCAACAGCAACCCACAGCAGAAAGACGAGGGGCCTACACCAGGCAGCCAAAAGCAGAGAGCATGAAGTCATAGCTTGGACACTGGAGCAGTGCATTCATAGAGCATATAGGCAACATGTGGACTCACTTCAAGGACAGCTGACAAACCAGCTTCAAACACCACATGCAGGAGCTGCATCCAAGAACGGGTTCCGTGGCTGCTCCTTGAGCTGATTGCCGCAATGGCCATAGTTCAGCCACACTGAAGGACTTGCACTTTTCAAGCCTTTTTTTAGTATTTAAATAATTTAAAAATAAGCTGAAAAACTTGTTTGCTGGCTGGTTCGCAAGGGTTATTTAACACTTGGCTCATGACCCAGCTGAAACTGAAAATGCCCCATTAATTAAGAACCAAGGCCTGATTATCCCGCTTCGTCCATGAAGCTTGCTGTCCTGGGGCAGGGTCTCCACCACGTAGGTCCCATTGCTTTCCATTTCCATTTTGCAAGAACGTAACTGAAAATCCCAGAGGCCAAGCCCTGCAAAACCCAACCACCTGCCCTAACTGCACCCTCACCCACACAGGCAGCAATCAGAGGAGGCTGCTGAGATGGATAGAGTTATGCTGCTATGAGCAAACTTGGATGCAGACTGTCACACAGGGTACCTTGTGCATGTGTAAATGTCAAGTCATTACAGCAGAGAGAGGAGAATTCCTTTCTCTGCACATTTCTTTCTTTATTTTTCTGAAAGTAAAACTGACTGAGAACCATTGCAGTGAAACACAATTCTAGATTCTTGGTATACGGTGTAAGAAATAATCCACTGGTTTAATCAGCACAAAGCACCTAATTGTGTGGGTTGACTATCCAGGTAGAAAAAAATAATTCCCTCCCCTCCAACCCCCCAAACCACATTTGCGTTTTGTCTCAAAATTCAAAATTCAATAACAAATGTCCCCCTTGGCTAGAGAAAAGAGCAGCAATAAATTCTTTTCCTCCCTAAAGGAATCCAAGTCTTAATTATTCATTTTAATGCTCCCAGCACGACTTGTTCTTTCCAAACCTTCTTCAGGCAGCTCTGTCACTAGTCTCTGTAGTTTAACCCAGTTACGAGACACGGGTCTGTACCAAAGTCCAAGCCAATTCAACAGGCAGGTTTGGTTGGCAGCGGTAAAATTCCTGCTTGGAACTCGGAAGCATTGTACGGCCTTGAGCAAGTCCCTTAGCTCTGGGTTTATGATTTGAACAAACAAACAAACACAGACCTCTTGGCTTTTACTTGGCTATTGCTCTTTTCCAACTTTCATTTCCGTCTCTTTTCATACAACATATTACTGGACCGTGGAACTCCCTGTCACAAGAAGTCATTGAGAACAAAGACACTGCTATGACTTAGAAAACAGATGAATCACAAACACATAATGAAGAAGCAGGAACAGTTTGTGTTATCAAACTAGAGAGAGAGCTTTTAAAACCTCGTCAGACCTGAAGCATCCCCTGTTTTCACCAGGAAGAAGCTTCCTGGGGGACGTTTACTCCATGGTTGCCTGTTGTGGGGACCTCACACGTTCCTCCAGAGCACTCAGGACTGGCTGCAATGGGAGACAGTGCAGACAGCCCTGGGTCCACCCTGCCTGGCATCTCCTGTGTCACTACGGAAGATTCAGGGTTTCACTTCATTGCATTGTGTTTTCCTTAGTGCCCTTTTTTCACTTGTTTTCCTACTCCGCTTGGCCCTTGCTCTTTGCAAGCAGGAGCCACGCGTCTCTGGGCAGATGCCACACAGCTCTGTCGTAGGTGCTCATTTGCACTGGGATCAGCACTGACCTTTTCCTACTAACACCTCTGTTATTTAGAGCTGCAGCGGCTGAGCTGAAGCTTTCCCTGTTGCCACAAGGGCAGATGAGTTCCTTGGGGAGAGCTGGCAGGTGGTTTGGGCTGAGGAGAGGCAGGATGCACAGGAAGGATCATGTGTTTGTGCCTGTTTTCAGTGTTCTCCTGTCTTACGGCTATGCTATTTCACCTGTAACCAGTTTGAAATGTTCTGCAGTTGCAGAATTTTAGAGAAATTCAGCTGTGTCTAGTTGTTGGCTTATCAAATAACCTCCACCTGGATGGAGAAACAGGGTAAAAATTACACTTACATTAAAAAAGCATGGAGGATCATTACCCTATTGAGAGCCTCACAAACCAAGAAAAAGGAACAGTGCCAGTGCCCAAGTCCTTTTCAGCCCTTCCTCAGGGCTTTTTTTTTTTTTTTTAACATCAGCAGACACAAACGAAATTAAAACAGAAAAGAAAAAAAGGGTCCCAGTCACTAAAGCATCACACGGCCAAGACAGCAGAGGTTGACACTGAGCCTGGCACCCTCTCCTCTCGCCCCAGCTGGCCAGGCACAAGCTCCTCCGCGTTTCTGCAGTGACTTCTCACGTGCCCCATGGCAGGAAGGTGGCATGGGCCCTGGCTCACAGTCATGGCTAGGGCAAGCGCTCTGGGGTGAGTTCTGGAAGATCCTATCCCCCATCCAGGCCCCAGACTACAAGGTGAAAGTTTACATCATGACCAGCGCGTTGCGAGAGTGTTGGATGGCACCTCTGTTTGAAAGTCTGTGCCCCCAAGACACTAAACTGCTCGCCTGACACACTCATTCAGCACTAGGTTACTAGTACCTCACCAATGCTGACAATTAATATGAATTTCAACCATCTCTTCTGTTTCACATGTCCATTTGAGGACCCTTAAGATGGTCCTGTGTGTAGTGAAGCTGTATTAAATGCAGCTCTCTGGAGCTCCAGCCTTGCTGGAGAGCCTGAACCCTCCTCCTGCACCCAAAGCTGAGCAGCTGCCTGCGGCCCAGCTCAACGGCAGCTCTGGGGAAACACAAGCTGAGCCCTGGCTATTCCACATAACATCCCACTGAACATCTCCTTGCTCCAGTCCAGTGCTCCAGAGTCATTGCCTTCCATACATGCTATGGCTCATATGCAAGCAGGCTGGAAATTTATGGAGTGACGTTTGCCAGGGTCTCTTCACAGCTGACATAACAGCTTGGAGAGGTGTGCCATGTTCCCTTCCCTTCAGCACAAGTTCAGAATGGCATGGCCCTTATTTTTTCCCCAGGGGACTGCAGAAATCACTGTTTCAGATGTGGCACTCATTCACTCTGCTGCTGTCAGACATCTAGTCAACAGCTTTGACTCGCTGACCTCCCAGAAACTTCTGCTCTCCGGCTAGTTTACTAGAGAGCTGCTTTTGCCGACTGCAGAGCCAAGCAGTGGGAGGCGGTTTGGTGGCCGGGAGAGGGACAGAAGTGCAGCCGGGCTGAAGGAATGAGCAGTCAAGGCCAAGAGAGCTGGCACGCAGGCTGCTGAGGCTCCTAGGACTGCTCCCTCCCCAACACGCACACAGGAATGAGCATTAGGGCCCTCAGATGCAGCAAGGGAGCTTTCCTTTTTGACCTGAGGAGCAGCTGTGCCATAGGCCCTTCAGCCCAAGGCACCTATTCCTTGGCAGCTGGAGAGCTGCTCCCAGTTCTGCATCCCTGAGATGTGGGGCTGGGTGAGGTGCTGGAGGGGGGTCACAGAGACTGAATCTTTGCAGCTGGAGAAACAGGGAATTCAAGTCAATGAAGGAGGTGGTGGAGGATCTAGCTGGGCAGAGAGACTGATGAGCAATGGTGCAGGACCAGGGGGGACACTTGGACTGGCAGTCCATGGGCTCAAGGAATATCCTTCAGGTTGTCTATCCCAGGGAGAAGAAGAGATGATATAGGAAAGGAAATTGCAGGGCTGGGACAACGGGTGCAAAGCGTGAAGCTAGGAGTTGCAGGAAGAATGGGAGTAGGACGTAAAATGTCATGCACAACCACTGAATTAAACCGCAAAATTCAATTGCACAGCTAATTGTCTTGAAGGCACTCCCAAGCTTTTGAGTGTCCACCTTTGCAATCGTAGCTGTGCTCTTTCGGGGTAGTTACGAAGGGAGGGGAGCAGGCCAGCAGTGAGCAATGTCCCTGCACGCAGGAGTGGCTGTGACACCACGGCCTGACTGTGCCACTGAGCTCAGGGGGACCTGCCTTGAGCGTGGAGCGCACGGCTAGTCCCCCTGCTTGGGAGGAACCGAAGCTCACAGGGTTTGCCAAGGTGATGTCAATTTGGTTTAAGGCAAAACCCTTGGAACGAAATCCCTACAGCGAAAGGGTGCTTTGTGGTCAGTGCTGAGCCTCCAGGGAATTTTCCTCCTTCGCTGACCCTGCTACAATGGAACAAAAGCAAAGAGCTTGCTACAAAACAGCAAAAGAGATGCTAGCAAAGGTGCTGACACTTCAGCCCCAAGGCTGCAAGTATTTCTGCACCTGTGTAAGCAGCAGAGATTGCTGCTGGTGCCAAACTGCCCTCACTGCGGAGCGAACATGGGGCCAGCTGAGGGATGCATGTTGTCCCCATGCAAGGGGATGACAGACCCCAAACACATCCTACCAAGTAATAGTGCTGCTGCATTGCAGTATCCTGCAGCAGCAGAGGAATACTGACCTAACTGCCCAGGGCCTGGGGACAGTTCGGTTGGAGGGCAGTGTACAGAGCTGGGCTGTTTTCATTAAACAGGTACCAAAACTGGAAAAGCAGGAAATAAGGATACAAGACACAAGGAGTTTACCATGCAGTGGAGACAAGGGGAAAAAAAAAAAAAAGACCAAGTAGAGATACATTACTCTATGAATACATCAACCGGGCAAGCATTCAGATGGAAAATCAGTATTTAGGCTAATGGGCAGTAATGGCA